ACACACACACACACACACACACACACACACACACACACACACACACACACACACACACACAAATTTCTCATATAAAATCCGCAATAAATTTATGTGAAACTTTTCCAAAAGTTTAAAAATTTATCTTATAATTATAAACTAAAAGTTTTTAATTTTTTGTCTATGTAATTTATTTTTGCTCTCTATGTATACAAATGTCTTAAATTAAAGAAAATATCTAAAGTTTTATATATATATATCTGTGATAAGATATTTAAAATCATATATCTTGAAAACATTTACAGTAAAAGTTAATAAAAATTTTTTTAACACATTGCTGATATAATTAATTTTCGTATTTGTATTGTAAGTTGGTCTTATATTTGATCAAAACGCTAAAACTTTCTTAAAAACAATCCAAACAAGCGCGAATAAATACGAATGAACTTGCTTCGGCGAGTGTAAAACTGACTGTGCCGCAAGTATCGGCGAACAAATCGTTCATTCGCGCTCGTTCACTTGAAGCAAATCCTATATTACGCATATCTCGAGAGATTGATCTCGATCGTTTCGTAGCATTTAACGGATTAATAAGGAATAATCGTCGGAATATTGAAAGCGCTAAGTGATTTTCTTCATTTTTCTTTTTCAGTTTCCCGTGGCTTTTTACGTTTTCCCGAATCATCGTCTCGAGTCGTAGGGATTATCAGATTCAAGTGGACATCCCCGTTGACGAACACGGCTCTCGACATGGTGGAGATGACCGCACCGACAAAGTCCGATGGACAAACGCAATTTGGTAACACGCGTCAGCTCGATCCGTCCGATTGTATTTTCGTCTTCAAGAACACGCTTTCGGATTACGAGAAGCCGCTCTCCGATGAGGAGGTGAGTACAACGTTCTCACTGCCGTCGCTTTCCATACAGGTTTTACATGCGAATTTAACAAGGTTACGAACTTGTTCATTTCACGAAAGCCAGTTACATATTTTTCGCATGCCGTCGGAATGTCGCAATCGCATTCTGCGTCGTGTCCAAATAGTACCTACTAGTAAAAAGAAAGTTGTGTTTCACTTTTTGTTTTTTTTTTTTTTCCCAAGTTGCGACATCGCAGAGTAACCTGTAATTTTATTCTGGCAGTATGCAGGTATTATTTAAACGACTTGTTAACCTCGGCGACATGCGACGTTTATACGCGTTT